TGGCTTGTCTGTGGAAGAAATAGGAGCTTGACCATTTGGTTGAAAATCTACATTATGAGATGCACACACCAAACCAGTTAGTGTACGATTATCAAATATCTAGATTAACAATTAGCTAATACTTATGGTTGCTATAACAGTGAAATTATATAATAAACAGACCTGTTTTGGAAGACCTTCCCGAATGCCAAATCTGACAGAAGAAGATACCACCTTTAGCATGAACAACATCTACAATAGGTTTCCATGCTTCAACTTGCTCTTTTGTCCATATCCCAGGGACATGTGGGAACCTATAAATGTTATTATATACTTGCGGGTCAATTTGAGATTATTGTAGCACACACAAAAATATACACCATATTGTATATAATACACGATCTAATATTCCTTTAAAATTACCCTAGAGAAGTGTCGGAAATTCCAGTTGCTTCAGCAATGAGAAGACCTCCTTTAGAGGCTCTCTGTGAATAGTATAAGATAGCGTGTGGCTGAGGAAGGTTGTCGAACGACCTCTCTCGTGTCAATGGCGCCAAAACAATTCTGAATGCAATAAGAATAGTTAATGAGTATTTCTAATTATTACATAACCAAAGAGTATTAGTGATCAACGTATAACATGAAACGAATAACTAATAATATTATAATACCTATGTGAAAGATTGAACTTTCCCATCTTGTAAGGAGTAAGAAGAGGGGCAGTAACCACTGTCGTTTTTTCGGATTCATGATCTTCTTCAACATCTACAACAAGCGATTGGAACTTGGTTTTGTTTTCCATTTTCCTTTAGCTTTCCAGTCCTTGATAATTTCTTTTGTTTAATTTATAGATGTATGATTTGTGGTATCCTAGTAATTGGGTATTTATATACACACACAAGATCAGTTCTAGTGTATAAAAGGAGACAACTACAAGGTTTAATAATGTGAAGGAAGACGCTTGTGGATTGAAACTTTCCTTCATTAATTTTGTTTGTTTTTGTTAATTTTTAGTTTTTACTTTTCCTTAGTTTGGCCTTTCCGAATTGCTAGCTAGATTCATTAACGTATGGTTACGTTTGGAAGTACGTGGCCAGGTCTGGCCACGAACTTCCTTACGTCATGAGTGTGACTAAGAACTTAATTTGACCACAAACATTTGAGTTTGACCCAAGACCGCCATTGCATGCATAAGACTTTCCAAAGCCTCGCCGATAATGCAATATTTGACTTTCTTAATTAAAAATTCTGATTTGAACTCTGACTTAATTCTTATAATTATTAAACCCATTATAGATTATACAACGAAAGGTAGGGTGGGTTTGATTTGATTTGGAGCTGGCACTTTTAATAAATGTTTTATAATTACTAAGGGTAATGATAAATTTTTTGCCCCGTTTATTTCCATCAATTTAAATTTAAAATTTAAATTTTATTACAATATAAAATTTTTAAAAATAATCATATTTAATTTTTTTATTATAATAAAAAACTCTCATAATAAAATTATATTTAACTCAAATTAAAAAATTTAATCAGTAACTAAACGATATAAATATCAACAAAATTGGGGTGTAGGAGTTTTTATAAAAATTAGAACAAATTGCAGCAAAAAATGCGCAAAACTGTTGATGGTTCTGTACGAGCAATAGCCAGTCACTCTCCTTTGGAATTAACATTCCAACTAACCCAAGCAAGGAAATGCAAAACATGGTATGCACTATGCTCTTTGTCGTTATTTACTTAGTGGGTCTGATGCCCTGAAGAATGTTACAGCTGTCAATAAAATATCTAGCCTTGTGCCAGAACAGTCCGTGCAAGGTACAGATCAAATAGCGGTAAAAAGAAAAACAATAATACGATTCCATGCTGTCATTTTTTATCACTTTGCTGAGAGAGAAGATAGAGAAAAGCTCCTGAATGCTACACCCGAAACACTGTGTTTTGCAATGAGTGAAACATCATCCGTTTATTTTGCTGATTTGAATTTATAATTTGAGTTGAGATGTAATTTTATGTGAGAGTTTTTTATTATAGTAAAAAAATTAAATGTGATTATTTCTGAGAACTTTTTACTGTAACAAAATTTAAATTCTAAACTCGAATCGGCGAAATAAACAGGGCTACAATTCTTTTCAAAGACTGAACTGTCATTACTATAATTTATCAAATATAATCGGCGTGCATTATTGAAAGTGAGGCTTATGTCTAGTTTATTTTGTTGATTTGAGTTTAAAATTTGAGTTAATATGTGATTATATATGAAAGTTTTTACTATAGTAAAAAAATTAGATGTGATTATTTGTGAGAGCTTTTTACTGTAGTAAAATTTAAATTTTAAACTCGAATCAGTGAAACGAACGAGGTAAATTTATTAGTTAACTTTTTTTTTTTTTACAAGACACTCCTTAAATTTTACGTGTTTAGCAACTTTGTATATGTTCTTGAATTAAAATTCTTGGCAATTAATTGGCCTCATAAAAAATTCTTGACAGTATTAAAATCCTAATTTGTGGCCTTTTCAGTAACTCCGTCAACAATTTAATAGAAATTGACATGTGCCACACACATAGGCAATTCATAAGGGCAACATTAGGAAATTTGTAAAAGTTATCTTTCTCCTTGAAATTTAATCAAAATCTATCTCATGCAAAGAGGTAACAAAAGGGATTCTAGTGTCGAATCTTCTACCTGATATTATATATAATATTTATATTAGTTTTCCATTGACCCAGAAACACAAAACGCCAAGCTGTGTTCTCTCACATATACTCCAAGCTTAACAAAGAAACCAAAGACAACAGCCCCAAACAAATTACAATTACAAGAATCAATTTCACACACGCACACACAAACAAAATCAAAATTAAAATTCTAAGAGTATATTGAATCCGATATCTGATATAAGGAAAGAAAAGACAAAAACATGGTGCTTCTAAACGATGTTGTATGAGTGTCCGAGTCACATGAAGCGATTTTGAAGCTATCTCTTGAAGTCACCATCACTGAGACCTCGAGGTCACCAGATCTTGTGGTGGATGGCTACGACGTTGATGCTGGAGGGAGGTGCCAACGGGCTGTGCGCCCCACCATCAAAGTTGAGGGAGGTCCCATGCAAAAAGAAAACCTTATTAGTTCATGCTGAAATTAAAATTGAAACATGCGTACGCATTACAGCAAAAAATACGCATGCAGTTGTAGTTGCATGGGAATGAGTTCATATGCCCCTTTTCTCTATCTCCTTCGGTGTCCTTCAATAATAACATGTCACGTCATGACTTTTTAATTGACGTAATAAGAATCTTTTAATTGACGTGATATTTTAATTGACGTATCACAATATTACTAGAGGTGCATGAAAGGAGACACATGAGTTGGTTCCAGTTGCGTGATGGTTTATTATGGAAATGTTTTTGCATGCATGCAAAACACATGCTCTTTTGTTTGGATATGTTTTTCATATTCTCCTTATTTTTAAAAGTCTTTGAAACTTCTACATAAACTATGGCTAGAACTCTTCATAAATAATTATCAAATAAAAACATATGAGACAAAATGTAATTGAGTGATATTATCGGAAAGTTAAAATAATTAAACCAGTTAAAATTAATTAATTTTGTGTTATATTTTTATGATATCTTATGACTTGTATTGAATACACATAATTTGTTTTATACTTAGTAGCATTTAACAATAATGTAAAGATCTTATCAGACGATTATATCACAACTATTTAAAAATGTTATTCAAGTTAAAAGGGGCAAATCGTACAATTTTAGTGTGTTGAAAAATTAACTAGTCGGTTGTACCTTTTAAAAGATTACAAAAAAACAAAAACAAGCGAGTAAGGTGGGGTAATTAGTTAAACAACGTATTTATTATATACTCGTAAATAATATTTTAGAAGAAAACATGAAAAACTATTTAAGAAACATTATTTTGAAGGAATAAATTAGAAGGAAAAATGCTTTATTAATTTAAACCAGAAAAAAAAGAAGCTCGCAAGCTAACAAGAAGAAAAGCTTTTAAAAAGCTATTATCTCCCTTCTTATATAGATTATAGATAGATAACTTAAATTATATACATTTGCTTAACATAAAAAAAACATTGAAGTTAATACACTAAAATTATAGTATATATAAATTTCCTTAAATGTTCGCTTTGATAATTTTCTTAAGACAAACAACATCTCAGCCTCATAGTTTAATGAACCCCATCCTAATAGTACTTTGGAACTAACAACACTTCTAAAATTACTTAGAATTTACGAAACATTCAACTAAATACCAACTCAATAATTCTTCTAAATTAACCTATATAAACTCTCTCTTCTCGCCCCTTACACGCTTCTCGATGAATTGGCGGCTAACGAGAAAGACGACCCGACGAAACTGAATAATTTTTCTGTAAAATATTATTTCCGCAAATAAGTTTGCATAGCGGCTCTTATGTTCGAAGCCGCTTCTTCGAACTGTTGGCGAGCCGTGAAGCCGCCGTCGATGTCTAGTACGCGCATTTAGGGCAGGGCGAGCCGAGCCGACTAGGCAGCCTCAACGGCGCCTATGTACGCAAGCGAATGCATGGCGTCGCTTCCAATGGGGAGACGCCCTGACGGTGATCCGAGCCGCTTGATGGTGCGGCGCCACTTCCTCAGGAAGAGAGCCGTATTTGGGCCCCAACGTGCACCGCGCTTTGCTCATGTCTTCCGTATTTAGGGTGCCATTTTCAGATCTTTTCGAGTTCGTCCCTCGAATCGAACATCGTTATTATAATTTATCAAATATAGTCAGCCCGAGCCAAGCGCCGCCATGGCTCTGAGGGAAGTCGGATTGGATCGCGCCTTGACGGTGTAGAAAGGTCGGACATTTGGGAGTGTGCGACAGTGCGAGTCTAGTTGTGCATGAGGTGACGTAAAAGGGGTCTTGTGTGTCATGCTGGATGTTGTTGTTGAGAATTATGGATTTCATGAAATTCATTAAGCCACATTTCTCGTCATAAAAATGATAAAACGACACTCTTTATTGATTTTTAACTGAAAGCCATAATGAAATATAAATCTTACAATAGAATAATTTTATAAAACGAAAAAAAGTACAATTTAAAATAAATCCTCCCTCAAGGACCTTACACATTATACGCACCAACTATCAAGTACTTAGATAGTGTTCGTGAGAAATGGGTAATCAGTGTAACCGATGATAGGATCTGGTGTATAAAATGTGTTTCTATTATACTTATTTAGAGGCGCATCAAGCTCAAATCTCTTTGGTAAATCCGGATTAGCCAAGAACAAACGTCCATAAGCAATGAGATCAGCGTGATTTTCAGCAACTGCTTTGTTCCCGTCATCTCTGGTGTAACCTCCCGCAACAATGAAGGTACCTTTGAAAGCCTTCCTCATTGGCACAAGACTAAGGTCGGTCTTGCTTACATCTAGAGTCATCGTCATCCTTGGCTCGACCATGTGGCAGTAGAGGATCCCATACTTGTTCAAGGATTTCGCCATGTAAAGCCCTAGCTCTTCCGGATTAGTGTCTTTCGCATCGTTGAACTCGGCAAATGGAGATAGTCTTATTCCAACTCTATCTGCCCCTATCTCGTTCACAATGGCTTCAACAACTTCAAGTGCAAAGCGACAACGGTTCTCCAAGGACCCACCATATTTGTCCTTTCGGTCGTTTACTTGATCTTTAAGAAATTGATCAATTAGGTAGCCATGAGCTCCATGGATCTCAACTCCATCAAAACCTACACACACATAAGTATATTTAATTAAGAATAACAATAAGTATATTTAATTAAGAATAACAATAAGTATATTTAATTTCCATTATGATTTAACAATCGATATTCTTTATGTAGGCACGCCTATGGAATTGTAGGGGGCAAAAACATATTTGAATCCACATATAATTAACAACTTAACTACGTAGAAAATTTCATAGCAACTAAAGATTACAAGATTAATTCGCGTAGAAATTGATCGAAATAATTACCAGCTTCAATAGCGTTTCTTGCGGCTATCCTAAAATCATTGACAACGAGAGGGATTTCTTCTGTTCTTAGCCGCCTAGGAGGTGTGAATTTTGGCAGCTCAATGACATCGCTGTGTAGCTCCGCGCTTATTGGCTTGTCCGTGGACGAGATAGGAGCTTGACCATTTGGTTGAAAATCTACATTATGAGATGCACACACCAAACCAGTTAGTGTAAAATTATCAAACATCTAGATTAGCAATTAGCTAATACTTATGGTTGCTATAACAGTGAAATTATATCATAAACAGACCTGTATTGGAAGACCTTCCCATATGCCAAATCTGACAGAAGAAGATACCACCTTTAGCATGAACAGCATCTACAATAGGTTTCCATGCTTCAACTTGCTCTTTTGTCCATATCCCAGGGACATGTGGGAACCTATAAATGTTATTATATACTTGCGGGTCAATTTGAGATTATTGTAACACACACAAAAATATACACCATGATCTAATATTCCTTTAAAATTACCCTAGAGAAGTGTCGGAAATTCCAGTTGCTTCAGCAATGAGAAGACCTCCTTTAGAGGCTCTCTGTGAATAGTATAAGATAGCGTGTGGCTGAGGAAGGTTGTCGAACGACCTCTCTCGTGTCAATGGCGCCAAAACAATTCTGAATGCAATAAGAATAGTTAATGAGTATTTCTAATTATTACATAACCAAAGAGTATTAGTGATCAACGTATAACATGAAACGAATAACTAATAATATTATAATACCTATGTGAAAGATTGAACTTTCCCATCTTGTAAGGAGTAAGAAGAGGGGCAGCAGCCACTGTCGTTTTTTCGGATTCATGATCTTCTTCAACGCCTACAACAAGCGATTGGAACTTGGTTTTGTTTTCCATTTTCCTTTAGCTTTCCAGTCCTTGATAATTTCTTTTGTTTAATTTATAGATGTATGATTTGTGGTATCCTAGTTGGGTATTTATATATATACACACAAGATCAGTTCTACTGTATAAAAGGAGACAATTACAAGGTTAATAATGTGAAGGAAGATGCTTGTGGATTGAAACTTTCCTTCATTAATTTTGTTTGTTTTTGTTAGTTTTAGTGTTTAGTTTTTACTTTTCTTTAGTTTGGCCTTTCCGAATTGCTGGCTAGATTCATCAACGTATGGTTACGTTTGGAAGTACGTGGCCAGGTCTGGCCACGAACTTCCTTACGTCATGAGTGTGACTAAGAACTTAATTTGACCACAAACATTTGAGTTTGACCCAAGACCACCCGTGCATGCATAAGACTTTCCAAAGCCTCGCCTATAATGCAATATTTAACTTTCTTAAGCCTCGTTCAGTTCGCGGATTTAAATTTTCGATTCGAGCTGAGATGTGACATTTTTTGAGAGTTTTTTACTGTAGTAAAAAATTTTAATGTGACATTTTCTGAGAGCTTTTTACTGTAGAAACTTAAAATTAAAAATTTAAATCGGTGAAGTGAACGAGACCTTAATTAATCGTTTCTTTTTACTTTTTAATCTGATGATGAGCAGAATGTCAGAAACCCGCTTTCTTTTCTTTTATCATTTTCCTTCTAAATTATAACGAGTAGTTGATCAGGACAAAATGTATGTGTCAATCTGTTGATCAAGTTTACCCTCAAAGACTGAAATAACTAGTTGAGGAAAAAAATAAAAGATTTATGTGGGGCCTACAATATGCTCAATTATTGTTGTTCTTGGCTTTTGAATTAATTAGCCCAAACAAGTTGAAGAATTGTTTCGTAAAGAGGACGCTAACTAATAAGACTGGTAAAAACAGAGAGCGCAACCAGGTGGGATAAGACATAAGATCACGCCTCCTAAGTCCTAACACGAAGAGATGATAAGACGTAGAATTTGCGTTTTTGGTGTATGATTTGTGTTTACATCTCTAGTATTCTTCCTCTGCAAAAGTAAAAACTTTTGGTAGGATATGCATGCACTTGTATTTTTCAGGGTTTTTTTTTTTTTTTTTTAAGCATAAATTATATCCTGTTTTTGAGTTTATGGAAAGAACATATTTTATATTTTGAATTGTATTTTATTCGGTCAACAAGGAATTATAGAAAAGCCACAGTTAAAAAACGCAAAAGCCCCCGAATCGGACAACAAATTCCGAAAACAATAAAAATAAATAAAAAAAAAGGCAGAAATGACAAGAAAATCTAGACAACGTCAATTATAAGAAAATGATGAGTAAAGAGCCAAACGAGTTAAAACTGAAAAGGGACCACCAAAACTTTGACAATTGAACATACAAATGAGTCCAAACAAATTCTAGGTTTTCAACTTTCTCTATCTCCCCCACACGAACAAGAGAAAAAAAAAGTGAATGACGGATGGAGTTCTGAGACCGCCTCTGAGCGCGTCGCTAGGTTCCTGGCTATGAAATTTTGTCCTCCACCTCGTCTCATCGGGAGCTTCTCATTAGCAATGGTAGTGTATGGTGCGGCGGCTCCGTTTGGGTGGATTTAAACTAATTTGGAGCTTGAAAGTTAAACGGATAGGCTTCGTTTCCAGACAAGTTTGTCGTTTTGTGGCTGAGATCTCTTGGCCGGCTATCTTCCTTGACTGTCCATTGGCCGGTTGCCCTTTATCAGAGGCTTCAAACGGCAGTCATCGAAGGTTTTTTATGTTTTTTTATGTAATTTTTGTGTTTGTAATAAGGGAGATGGTTTTCCAATCCAACCCTCATTTGTTTTGCTGTTTATTGTTAGTTTTTAGTGATCGACTTAAAGCCTTTTGTATGTCTCCTGATAGGGTTGTCTTGATCCGGTTAGAATTTTTTCTATATCTTGTAAATATCCTGCCTTTGTAAGGTTTGGTGTTCTATCCTTAGAGTGCTCGAAATCCTATCTCGATGGGAGGAGTTTTTTTAATTCGAGCTTTATATGTGCTCGTTGTTAATGGAGAAGACTCAAGTGTGCATCTGTTCCTCTAATAGGTCATTAGCATTGTACCGACATGACTATTTATTAGTTTTTAATTAATTGTAATTTCTCTTTCAATAAAAGAACATACAAATGAGTCTAATGACAAAAACATTAGAAAACGACAATAAGGTCAGGCAAGAAAAACTGAATAACGACAACGATGTCCAATTGTCCACACGATCGAAAAACGACAACAAGGCGAACGCAACAACTGAAGAATGATAACGAAGTTCACTTTTATAAGTTTCAAAAGCTTATTTATAACAAAAAGTAATAGAGACTCCTAAAAAAATGGGATAAAATTAATTTGGCTGAAACATCTCCAAACAACTCCATATTTTAATAATGTTAAAACCGTTCCTTCAAGTTTTAAAAAATATCCTTGAAGTTGTTTTTTACCACATATGTCTAAATTAATGTATATATTTCGATTTTAATGTCTCTCTCTGTTATCATTATCTATGTTTTTCTCAAATTTGCGTTTGTTAATTTCAGGGCTTCCATGTTGAAGACTTGTTTCGATTACACCTTGTGATCCAAATTCTGATCAAATTAAAGTTGCGGCTGAATAAGCATTGAAAGAGTATCAAAAAAAAAAAAAAAAAAAAAAACCTGAGGGTTGGTTTGGTATTTTTTTGTTTTTTTTGTTTTTTACTTTTGTGCTGTGCAATTCATAGTTTTTTATTTGTTTTTTAATTTTTTGTGTACTTGATAATTGTTTTTTTTAAAGGGTCTTATAATTTTTTGTTAGGAGACCAATTTAGTGTTTAAAAAAGAAAAAATGAGACAAATACATTTTGAAATATAAAAAATGAAAAAAAGTGTACATTGAATAGTATACTTTCAACCAAAACAACGTAATTTTTTTTAGTTGAAAGTGCACTATTTTTAATTTTCTCCCTTTTTTTAAGTCTTTTATTTTATTTTATTTTATTTTATTACTTTTCACCATAAACCTTATTCATTTTATCATTTTAGTCCTTTTAGCCTTTTATTTTTGTTATTTTTGCCCTAAAATTTCATTTTATTTTCATTTTAGTTATTTTTGCTTCAAATTTATTTATTTTTTCCATTTTGGTTCTTTATTGACAATTTTTCTTTGCTTCTTGTCCTAAATTTTTTTTTTCAATTTTTTATTTTTTTTTTGCCTTTTACCCTAAAATTTATGTATTCATTTTAGTAATTTTTTATTTTTTTATATTTTTGTCCTGAATTTTTTTTTTATTGTTTTGGTTTCTTTCCCCTATAACTTATTTATTTTTTCATTTTAGTCCTTTTTGTGCCTTTTTTTTATTTTTTTCATTTTTATTCCTTTTGCCTTAAAACTTATTTATTTATGCATTTTAGTCCTTTTTTGACTCTTTTTTTTATTTTTGTCCTAAAATTTTATTTTATTTTTCTTATTTTGGTTCTTTTTGCCCTAAAACTTTTTTTTTTGTTTTTGTTTCTTTTGGACTAAAATTTATTTATTTCTTCATTTTAGTCCTTTCTTACTTTATCTTGGCTTCTCGCCCTAAATTTTTTTTTTTTTCATTTTGATTCCTCTTTGGGATTTTATATTTTTCATAATAGTATGGTAATTAGTTAATTACAACTTAACACACAGATTACTCTCAAAAGAATTCAACTAGTTATAGTCTAAAAGGTATAAATATATGGGCTATTTAGGGTTAGAAATAAAAGGAAGCTCTATTTCAAGGGATATTTTTAAAAATTTAAATAGATCATCCCCCTAGATGTTTAGCCTGCTAACATTGGTCCATAGATTTCTACCCTTTTAGACTAGAACCAATCAATTTTCTCAAGTCAGGAAAAGTAGGCAAATACCCCTTAAAATGTATGGGTCTTAAATTTTTACCCATTGCACTTGATTAATACCATTTACTCAAAAAATTATATTAGTCAAAAGGGTATTAATCAAGAGTGAAGAGTAAAAATCTTGGAATAATGCATTAAAAGAGTGAAGTTCACCAGTCTTCAGTCGCTGTCACTGGCCGTCTGCGTTTGTAAGATTATGATTTATAATCTGTCAAATTATTTTTCTATTTTCAACTAAAAAATAAGATCTTGTCTCCGCCTGCGACATTGGTTGCTGGTGCGGGCCAGATTGTTCTCCATAATCTATTAAATTATGTTTCATAATCTGTCATATTATTTTTTTAATTTTCATATAATTTTTTAATAATTGTCAAATTATGTTTTTAATCTGTCAAATAAATGACATCTCCAGCTTCCAGACACGACAATAAAATTTTAAATCAAAGGAACTACAATGAAAATTGTCATCTATACTCATATATCTTTTGCCTTTTTCATTTCATTAAATAAAAAGAAAAATAAAGTAAATAGCATATTTATAAAAATAATTAAAATAAATAGTAGATATTAAAACTATTTAAAGTCAATGGTAATTTACCATTTACGAGTATAAATTTTTTTTAACGTAAATTTTCTTTTCTCGACTAGTAAAAAAGATTTTTTTTTCACGCATATAAAAATTTGTATCACATAAATTATCTTTTACCAATAGTAAATGAATTATTTACATAATAAAATACTATTTATTTCCAATAAATCTAAAATTTACTATTTACTTAATTTAGTTTTATAAATCTATTATTTACTATACTTTCTCTAAATAAAAAGAAAAGAATTGTCGTCTATATTTTACATGTTTCATGGAATACGCTTAAATGCTACCTCGCGTATTGTAATTGACACTGCTTTTCCCCTTTTTTATTTTGAGGAATTTTTTTCTTTTTTTCTTTGTTTTTTTTTAATATGAGACGAAGGAATTTAAACTCTACGTTTTATAATGAGACAATGTAGTCTAAAACACGAGATATAAATTTACTCCTATTTATAGATTTAACTGTTAAATAATCAATCTATAGATCCATTGGCTTAGACAACACTTCCTACTAGTATGGTAGAAAATAGCATACACAAGTTGCCATAGATTTATAGGAATTTTAGGACAAACAAATAAAATAATTGATAGTTTTATTTTTTAAACTTATTTTTAACCGTTAGATCTGTATTAAAAATTATTTAATCTGTATACTTTTTTAATATAATTTAATTTAATCAGATTTAACAATTAAAAAATTAATCATACTGATAAGACGAGACCGTCTTTATTTTTATTTGGAAATTGTAATTAATAATAAGTTTTGATGCCATTGAGACTTCGTTTATATTACCGACTTGAATTTTTAATTTTAAATTTTTATAGTTAAAATTTTTTTAAAAATATCACATTTAATTTTTTTTATTATAATTAAAAATTTTTAAAAAATGTTAAATCTCCGTTGGAATTGGAATTGAAAATCTGCGAAGCGTTTGAATCGCACGCCACGCCAATCTTTCGTCCATATATTCCTCTCGGCTCCACAAACCCTAAACCCCTTTTGACAGTTATCAAAACCCACTTAGCTTTCAATTCACAGTTTTTTAAGGTCTAAGCTTCAGGTAACTTTACTTCTTCTTCTTCTTCTTCATCATCATCATCATCTTCTTCTTCTTCTTCATCTTCTTCTTCTTCTTCTTCTTCATCATCTTCTTCTTCTTCTTCTTCTTTATAATAGAATCCATTAGGCATAACGATTAATAACGATTCGAGTTTCTTCTGCATTTTCCTGGAACCAACATTTCAGCTTCTGTCTGTTTTCAGTAGATCCTTCTCTTTCTTCTCTCTCGGAAAGTGAACGCCTTCAGTTAAGTGATAACCCATGGCTTTGGTAAACATTTCTGAGCCTTTTCTTTTATACATTTCCACATTTCCTATGCATACGTAACATTTCATAAAGACTCTGCTTTTCTAATCATACTGATTTTAGACTTATTTGCTAATTTCTTATAATTAATTTGATTAAAGTGGCCATCCATGGCCTTTGATAGCCCAAGAAATTAAAAGGCTTAATGTTAGAACTTACTATTGTCAGATAGAACAGGGCATTGCCATTGCTGTCATTATCAGCATTAGCATGAAACAAAGTTGGGTAAATTCAAAAAAGTTTTTTTTTTTTTTTTTGACAACTGATTATCTCATACCTTATGCAATTTCATCTACTTAGGTGCTGTACGCTGGGAATACGAATAAAAATGGCTTCAAGGTGCTTATTGCTGCAGAATACAGTGGTGTTAAGATTGAATTGGTCAAGAATTTTGAGATGGGTATTTCAAATAAAACTCCGGAATTTCTCAAAATGAACCCCATTGGAAAGGTGGGTTAGGTTGGTATGGATAAATTCTGTTACTTTGACACTGAATATGTCAGGGTTAATCTGAAAGAACCTTCTTTATGTAATTTGTAGGTTCCCGTCTTGCAGACACCTGATGGTCCTATCTTCGAGAGCAATGCCATTGCGCGCTATGGTGAGAACAAGCTCCGAATTCCTTATTCTGCATATGAAAATTGTAAGTTCTTCAATGATAAAGCTGTATTTACTTGCTGCAGTTACTCACTTGAAGGCCGATAATCCTCTTTTTGGGTCCTCATTGATTGATTACGTAAGTGACTTGAGGCTCTCTTGCATTAGTATGAATTGTTATTTGGTTTTGATGTCCACGAAGATTTTCAGAATCCATTGGCTACAAAGCAAGGATAGTGGATATAGTATTGATCTTTGACTGTTATTTAAAAAAAAAAAAAAAAAAAGAAAAAAAAGTGCTTCAAACTCATGAAATTAATTGCTGTATGTAGGGCCGGCAATATGGGTCACGACACGACGACACGACTCGAAAACGACACGAATGTTGCGGGTTAGGGTTGAGAAAAAAGAGGTTCGGGTCAGAATTAGGTCGACTTGAAATTGACACCAAAAAATACGGGTCAATTTTGGGTTAGACCCGCCTAACCGAACACGACACGAAACTCGTAAAAAACTAAAAAATACATATATTTTTCATTTCATATTTTAAATTTTATTATGAACTTGTGATATCATGATAGTTATACTCAAAATCTTATACTATTATTTGCTTAATTTCAATGGATGTTATTGTAATTTAGTGTGTTATGAATTTTAAGTTATTTCTAATATGTAAAAAACTAAATAAAAGTATACAATTTTCGTGTCAATTTCGGGTTCACGGGTCAATTTTGTGTCACGGGTCATTTTCGGGTCGTGTCGTGTCAGCTCGTAAAGTGGTCGTGTCGTGTTCGTGTTGCGGTTTTTAAAAAATTTCGTGTCACGGGTCGTGTTCGGGTTGACTGAAAATTTTAAAAAAACGATCAAAACACGACACGAACACGACACGTGACACGAATTGCCACCCCTAGCTGTATGAACGTACCGAAATTGTTTGGGTTATTTTTTGGATCAAGATATGTGGAGAAAAGTTATGGCTGGGGTGTTCTTGTTGTTATGACTTTGATTGTTTCCTTCTCTACTTATGGTTTTCACAGGCCCACGTGGAGCAGTGGATTGATTTTGCAACGTTGGAGATTGACACCAATATTTTGCGTTGGTTTATACCCCGAATTGGCTTTTCTGTTTACCTGCCTCCGGTTAGCTTTTTCATCATTTATGGTTTTATTATACTTTTATAGTTTCTTATGCTTCTTTCTGGTTGTGATTTTTACCATGTTTATGCTATTTTTAATCTGCACAAAAAGGCTGAGGAAGCTACAATTGCTGCGTTGAAGAGAGCCCTTGGTGCTTTGAACACATATCTTGCTTCCAATACCTACTTGGTTGGACATTCTGCGACATTGGCTGATATAATTTTGACATGTAATTTAACTTTGGGATTTACCCGCATCATGACCAAGAGCTTTACCTCGGATTTTCCTCATGTTGAGAGATACTTCTGGACCATGGTCAATCTGCCAAATTTCCGTAAAATATTGGGTGATGTGAAACAAGCAGAATCTGTTCCACCTGTTCAGTCAGCAAAGAAGCCCTCGCAGGCGCAAGAACCTGCCAAACCAAAAGCCACGGTTGAACCAAAGAAAGTTGCCAACAATGAAGTGAAGAAAGAAGCACCTAAACCTAAAGCTGAGCCGGCTGCAGAGGAAGAAGTGGCTCCCAAACCCAAGCCAAAGAATCCTCTTGATCTTTTGCCTCCTAGTAAGATGATTCTTGATGAATGGAAGAGACTTTACTCGAACACAAAAACCAACTTCCGTGAAGTTGCTATTAAAGGTAATCCCTAACTCAAGGATGCTCTTCTGATGGACATCCTTTTCTCTTTCAGACTTTGATAAGACTTGATTGATTGTTTAATTTTAACCTGAATACTGATTATTATTTTCCTCTCTTTTGCAGGATTCTGGGACATGTATGATCCAGAAGGCTACTCTCTTTGGTTTTGTGATTACAAGTACAACGAAGAGAATACTGTCTCATATGTGACTTTGAACAAGGTGAGTGGTTTTCTGCAGCGGATGGATTTGGCTCGCAAATATGCATTTGGAAAGATGCTGGTGATTGGTTCAGGACCACCTTTCAAGGTGAAGGGATTGTGGCTCTTCCGCGGACAACAAATTCCTCAGTTCGTAATTGACGAGTGTTATGATATGGAGCTATATGAGTGGCAGAAGGTTGACATCACTGATGAAGCTCAAAAAGAGCGTGTGAATCAGATGATTGAAGATCATGAGCCGTTTGAGGGAGAGGCTTTGTTGGATTCCAAATGCTTCAAATGATGTTTTCACCGTCAAGACTAGTGATAGAAAGAACCTTAACTTAGGTTTCAAGTGATCAAGGCTAGCGAATGGCGATAGAAAGAACCTTAGGTTTTTAATTTTTCACTTCTAACGTTTCTTTTCTGTACCAGCCTTCTTTGTGCCCTAGTATTAGCTTCTATTTTTGTTTGCTTCCCGGACAATGTAATGAGCTATAATACTGATGGAATTACCAGCCTTATTTATTGAATTAGTTTTAGACGGCGAGTCATCTTTTTTATGTTAGAAATAGATGTTCTAGTGGAGATGGTTCTGAGTCGAAAATAGTTACTTTTGGTCATTTTTCTTTCTGAAATAATTTGCACGTTTATACTTTGTAGCTGAAATGAAAATGCAACTGCTTATAGCAAATGGCGAAAAGAGACAAATATCATTTTAGAGTGGAGTTTATATTTTTATATTTTATATTTTATTAAATAATTATATTAAGATCTATACACTCTGAAAGATAAGTTGAGTAATTTTGTTCTAAGGCGCCCAAATCAATACATCTATCATATAAGTTGAAGGAAAAGCCGCTAGACAAAATCCATCAGAATTTGAGCTACTTCATCATCTTTACGCGTAATTGAATCCTGCTTATTTGCCAAAAACACTACCAATAATTCAAAGTGCAATTCTCCGAACCATACAAGACAGAAATATTGGGCAATTTATCAAAATAAGATCCATCTAGCTTGAATTCGGTTTTATTTTTCTTGCTAGAAAATTTGAACGTCACTAATTGACATACTTAGAGAACCACTCCAACATCTTCCTATGGGCTTCCTCTGCAGAATTTACAGCTGCTTCATCGTTAACGTTGTACCTCAAGGTCCAACCATGTTTAACGTTGGGGAATATCTCCACATGGCTATCAACCTATACCAAAAATAAGAAAATAAATCGTAATGAAAAGTTGTCACATAATTAAGAAAACCAAGTTGTTACCTAGTAACCTATACCTCAGGTTTGGCAATTAAGATTGCCTCGAACTGTTTCAAGAGAGCCGGCGGAGAATAATCATCAATCTCAGCACCCAATATTGCAATGGGAACATTAACTCCTGCAAAACGGTTTTCTAACCTTTTATCATTTAATTAGTTGAGCCACATATTATTATGCACGTGAAAAATAACTTTATAAGTTTAATTCTGTATCAAAATAAGAATTAAGTCCATTAATTGAAGTAAGAGGGAAAAAATATTTCCAAAAATCACATCAAAAAAGAATTAAAGTTGTATAGGAGTCTTCGACCAAAAAAAAAAAGAAAAAAAAACTTAGGAAGATATTTAAAAAAAAAATCATTTTAATTAAAAGAAAGTGAGAAAAATAAAATATTTTAAAGAAGAATATTGTAAAAAAAAAAAAGAATTACCAAAGAATATTAGGGGAAAAACAAAAATTGACAATAAGCAAACAAAAAGAAGAAAAAAATTAAAAAAAGAAGAGAAAAAACTGAAAATAAAATGTATGTAAGTTTTAAGTAAAAGGGGACAAAGTAAGAAACCAAAAGTGAAAAGATATAGAAAAAGGAAAAAAGAAAAACAAAACAGGAAGGAAAAAAGGAGATGTTGACACATGGTTAAAAGATGAGCATTCTTTTTAACTTTTTTATGTATGTTTAGATTAGATAACTCTTTGCTGTTACAGGAAAATACTTGTAATTTACATGATTAAATCACAATGACAAATATGGCAGTAGGGAAAAGCAGATAATAGTTCATTTCAAGCAACCTTTTTATTATTGGTCTGTTAATACTGGCTGACATGGATATATACCTCACTTCTCTATTTCTGTTTATAGTTAAAACAATAAAAATACAATTTATAGAGGATTATTATTGTTTATTGCTGCTGTTGTTGTTATTTTATTTTGGCATATGATTTCTAAATGCCACTGAAATCGTTACCTGTAATGTCGTCCAATGTGACAAAGGAAGGGTGCAAGAGCACAGCAGCTTGAATAATAGATTTAGACTTTGAAATTTCAGTTACAACCTTGGCTGAAAAGAAACAAAATGTTTATACCTCCAATTACTAACAATCTATAAAATACAATTTATCAAATGGGGGAAACTACGTATACAACTGATTGGAACAAGTAAGTCAATGGAACTTTTTACTATCTTAACAAAACCAGTACTAAGCAATAGATGAAGGAACACAAATTAAAAACAGAGATCTAAAAAAGTTATCTGTGAAAAAACAAAAATCAAAAAGGGGTAAGTAGGAGCAAAACCCAACTGACCACCCCAACAGAAGCCTGCGGCCCCAAGTGAAGAGAAACCCTTAGATTTCAGAGCTTCAACCACAGGTTTCACTTCTTCGAATCCCTTATCCTGTTAGAAAAACGTATGTTCCACATAATCAACAACTTGCATATACATACATAACGTATGTTCCACATAATCAACAACTTACACACACACACACACAAACAGTAACATAGAAATCTACTATATTTGAAGCTCTTTGCCCGAGTTATATTAAGAAAAATTCAAGTATCGGGGGCTTATTCAGTTGTATTTTTGAGTTATGGTAGTTTGAGTGTAGATCTTGTTGAATTTAAATTATAATTTAAGTGTATACATACATACATACACACATACACACACAGATAGTAACATAGAAATCTACTATATTTGAAGCTCTTTGGCCGAGTTATATTAAGAAAAATTCAAGTATCAGAAAACTTAGGGTTTGTTCAGTTACATTTTTGAGTTATGGTGACTTAAATGTAGATCTTGAGTTGAATTTGAGTTATAATTTGAGTTAAAATTGTAACTTGAGTTTGTGTTTGGATATGCACATTTGAGTTATGATTTAAATTGTGAATCTATTTGAGTTTGTGTTTAGGTGGGTCAAAACTTGAATTTGTATTTGGATAGTATTTTAATAAAAATACAATGATGATGAAAAATTTTAATATGGTACATGGGTGGGGTTTTATTCGTCTTTTTGTTGTAAACGTAAAGAAAAAAAATCATCTCAATCGGAATTAAAATAAAAAAATTATGACATTTTTAATAACAAAAAAAATATTATTCATTAACTTGAGTTTGAGTTTAAAAACTTGAGTTAAAAGGAAAACTTAAACTCAAATTTTAACCCCAAACTCAAGTTAAAATTTGAGTTAAAACTCAAGTTTAAACTCAAATTTTACAAAAGAACGTAAATTTGAATAAAGTTGTAACTTGAGTTCAAATTTTTTTTGAAAAACGAGAAAATGAAAACACCTTTTTTTCGTTTTCTGATTTCCACAAAAAGACAAAAACGTTTTTGATTTTGTTTTTAAAAAAAATTGCACCAAACACATTTTTAACACCTGTTTTCATTTTTTTACTTTGAAAACCGTGAAAAATGAAAATGAAAACGCAAACAAACAGGCCCAAAATGTATGTAAGTTTTAAGTAAAAAGGGACAAAGTAAGAAATTAAAAGTGAAAAGAAATAGAAAAAGGAAAAAAGAAAAACAAAACAGGAAGGAAAAAAGGAGAGGTTGACACATGGCTAAAAGAGGAGCATTCTTTTTAACTTTTTTACGTATGTTTAGATTAGATAACTCTTTGTTGTTACAGGAAAATACTTGTAATTTACATGATGATTAAATCACAATGACAAATATGGCAGT